TTTTCACCTTTTTGTTTTACTTTTTTTTCCTCATGCCAACTTGTCTAAGATGAAACCTTTTTCTAACCAACCTCTTTGATCTGGTCATTCAGAAACTAATTCCTATAAGTGGCGAAATAGCAGGAGCAGGTAATGTTCATCCCAAACATGAAAGCACACTAAACAGCAGTACGTGGTTGACAAAAACATGACCAGATCTGGACTGACTTTTTGGGCAGTCCAACTCACCAACTGCAGATTACTCATCCCCAAAATTATAGTCACCCTTAGTGCTTTCAGCATGGTAACACAGCACCTTCAGGAGTTACTGAAGTGGAGACAACTATTAATATTTCCCCTTCCTCCAATAAGGCCGCTACCTTACGTCTCCTGTTTTATGTTTCATCCACTGTCATTAAAGTTGCAGCCTAATATTTTCTTTTGCTGTCTAATTATCCTAGCTCTTTCCAAGCCTGTGTGTTCACTGTTGGGTACACAGCACTTTGTCTGTAGCATCTAATATAACTGGAACTGTCTTTCTTAGGCTGGAACCTTTGTGGAAATCCTAATGGCTCTAAAGAGTTGGCTTCTGGCCAGCCCTGATATAATGGGATATAAATCCAAAGCTTTAGAAGCATCACATTATCTTGTACTTTAAAAACAAAATCAAATTATTATTTCAAAAGAGGAAAGAAACATAGTCCCTAGCAATAATGGCTTCATAGAAAACAAAATTTATAAAACCCATGGCCTATATCATTACTTATAAACCATTAAAGATGTGAAAATATGTGGCAGAGATTTCTAAGGATACATACATTCTAAATTAAATCTATGTGTGTACACAGTCACCTAAGAATTTTCAAAATCACATATATCTAGTATAAAACAGGAGTGTGTTTACCTGGAACCCAGGTCAGTGGAGCACATACAGCATTACTTGCACTGATCCTATGTGCATACTTAATTATTTCTTCAGAGGAGATAGCACCTGAAAGAGTTAAGAGGATAGTATAACCTGTAGTCTAACAAACATACAAGTTTAGAAATGTATCTATCAGTTATCCATCATATTTAATTTTAAATTACCTGAAAATAAAATAATCTCAGTCACCCGCCTTCCTTAACAGTATCTACATATTTAGTATAAACTTAAATCTCCAAAAATAGGACACTAATCCAGAAACATTAGCTGACATAAACAAATTTTGGAGATTAGCATGACAGCACTCAATAATCTCAATTATTAACTACCGTTAAATACTATTACTCTTCTGAAAGCAATAGTGAGCACAAATAAAATAGAGAAAATAGTGTTTTATTTCTCAAAGACATCCAAGCTATGAAATCAGAGCAGACAGTTCACACCACTCTGTTTGATCAATATGCCCTAAGGCTCTTAAGTAGACCTAAGTAGAAAGATGTCTACAATGTACTCACTAGGTAAACAAAACACTGCTAAATAATATGTACGATATGACCTGATTGTTTAAAATAAATGTACATATGTGTATTTGTATTTTTATTGTATACATACTCACAGATCTAGAAAAAAAATCTAGAAGGACATATACCAAACATTAATAGTTACCTCTGAGAAGTGAGAACCACACACTTCATTTTACAAACTTTAGATACTGTTTCAACCTAACAAAGTGCATGTAAAATTTTTGAAGATTAAAAACAAAATCACACTACGGTCTAGAAGTCAATAGCCAGCCTCAGTCATCTCTCCTAGAGATTTGTTTGTTGCTATAGAAGCCTAACCTAACTCTCAGAAGAATATTAGCTATTTTTCATATGCAACAATAAAAAGGTAGGTTCCCAAAAAAGAGGACAGTTAGACAATAAATCTCAGATGAATAAATGTAAAATCAGATGTACAAATCATTAAAGGCAAGTAACCAAAGTTGTAATTACAATTCTGACTTTTAGTATGGCAAACTAAAAAGTCACGTAAGATCCGTAACAGAAGCCTTTGAAAGAGAGACAGCAGGCCAGGAAGGCATGTGGGCCTCTGCACCACCAAACGTGCTTACCTGCCAAGACTATAACTGGCTCTGACTTTATGTACATCTGGCTCTGACTTCATGATGTTTCAGTCCCAGCTCAGCTGTCCAATGGATGTCCTTTCACTCTCTCTGTCCTAGCCTTCAAGATTTGGTACAAATTCCACTTCTAACCCGTACTTCTCTTTCCCTCTCCCACCAATTTTATAAACTCACTGTTTTTACTGCACATTTGGGCACACAGCCATAAACTGCCTTGTATTAATTGCTTTTTATAATCTGAAAAAGGATGTGATACTTCTACCTCCTTCACAACACCTAGCACAATGCTAGAACATAACAAACTTTACAATAAAAATTTATTGAATCCTTTCAACAGCAGCAAATGATTATCAGTAATATCCTCTTGCATTGGTCTCTTGAAAACAGAACCTTAACTTCTCAAGTCATTCAGTCTTCCCATACTAACCTTTTCTTGCTTTTTCTATTGACTTGAGTTTCTCCTTTGCTTGGTAAACAGCTGTTGCCTAATTTAAACAACATAAAAAAAAATGTGATTTATTCTTCAACTATATCAAACTTAGTTTTTGGCTTAATTCACAAGATCCTTTATCCTACAAGAACAATCTTCGAAACCTGGAAATCCCAACAATTATCTGTAATGTTCTGAAATACCTCTTGACATTATTTATTTCAGTCATATTTAATGAAAGAAATATTATA